GGTGGTAATAGACTAGAACTGACCGATATGGACAGCTAGTATAATGACTCTAATCAAGGAATGTCTTGATGGTAATATCTCCAAGTGGTCTGGTACATACTACTCACAGTTGAGAGGGTTGGCAATGGGCCAAAGATTAGCACCTACGCTAGCCATCTGCTTCATGAGCAGAATAGAAAGGCCGGTGCTATTACGATGCACACTTATGTATTGCCGATATATTGATGATTGTTGCATTATAACATCAACACAGTCTGAAATGGACGAGTGTTTCAAAATTTTAAATCAACAATCACAGTACAAAGTTCTACTAGAGAAGCTCCCCGAAACGGCTGGCTTCCGTATTTGAACACCCAGCCAATGTTAAGTAACGGTACGATGCGAGTAAAATGGTATCGCAAAGAGAGCTCCAAGAATGTCATCTTACACGCGAAATCAGCCCATCCGATGGCCGTAAAACGAGCAGTGCTGCGGAACATGTATAAAACGGCAAGAGAAGTCTGCAGTGGGGAGAGTGAACGACAAGAATCCCTCGAACTGGCAAATGAGATAGCAGCTTCCAATGGCTACTTCTCATCAAGGTCTAGACATTTCAAAAACACCGCAAATAATGATGATAGCCAAGTTCGTACCAGAATCCCATCATGTTTACCGTTTATCTCCAATAAGGTAAAGCAGGCTTTCCAGAATTGCATACTACAGGCTCAGTGGGAGCAAGATGTTGTTCTCGTAAGCATCCCCCGAAGCAACATCAAGCGACAGCTAGTGCGTAATCGTTTATACGATACAGCCTGTATTACGAGGGACTGCGTCATTTGTCCTTACGGGACGATGGGAGACTGTACCAAGTTTGGCATTATCTACGAAATTGAATGTCTAGAATGCCACGCCACCTACATAGGAGAAACTGGTTGTCAACTCAGCGTGCGAATTAATGAACACTTTCCTAGTAAAAGACGGGAAAGTTTGTCAAATCCGCTAGGGAAACACAGGAAGGTAGATCATTACGGCAATGACTTCAGTATCAAGTGCATCATCCTAGGTCACGAGTCAAAAATTGCTGCTCGCAAAGCGCTTGAAGCGGCATACATTCTTTCGCGCGAACCTAAGCTAAACAGAAAGAATGAGCAGCTTTCCATCATAAGTGACTTGATGCCATTTCTGTCATATTGTCCCTTATAGATAACGTATCCACTACTACTTAAGCTGTCCATATCGGTCAGTTCTAGTCAATTACCACCAGTGAATCTCAAACATTTGTTGTTGCCTGATTGGTGGAGATCTTGGTACGCTACTTACAATGTATTGTCTCAGCGTGTTTACTCCTCGGGCATTGAAATGAGCTAGTTGAGAAGAGAGATTTGATAGTACAGAGTGAAAAACAAGGCGAGGCCTTCTTTTAGGTCTCTGAGGAAGGCATTTTTGCCAAAACTTAGACCGAAATAAAGAGCTTAACTCGTTGGCGGCAGTGCCGCGAATGGTGAGCGGCGGCCTTAATTTCAATACTATCTGTCCAATCCTCTCAGTTTTTGTTCATATAATCAACATAGGCTCAGATGTCCTTCATGTATTAGCCCCGCCCCTTATGGCAAACTCCGATCTCTCCCATGCCTCTCACAAGGACCCTTTCTGTTCACAAAAAGCATGGTTGAGGCCGTAGGTGAACGCAAAGACCCCAAGCAACCTACGGCCAGGCCCCGCCCACCGTCGCCCAAACTCCGCCCTCTGAGTGGCAAGCTCCGCCCATTTTTCAAAAGTGGCGCAAATCGCATGAATTCTTGAAATTTGGGCAATTTCCGGAATTTTTGGCCGAGTGGGCGGGGCTTGCCGCATGGGGGCCGGCTTGCACATTTTATATTTCGTGCATGGATGCATGCATACATACATGCGGCCAGGCGTAGGGATGCACGGAAACGTCTCGTCCACAGGGACAAACCTCAAAAATGGCCCATCATCAACGTGTTAACAAACCTGCGTGGCTTACAACATATCTCATAAATTCAAACAATGCCCACTTTTCATAATCAGAGGACGTACAGGATTAAATAATTTTTCAAATCTTTCGAAAATTTAAATTAGCCTTGTAAAAATAGGGGCCAGATGCGCCTCTTTTTCTAAAATTTCGAGGTTGTGGGCACGCGAAAATTATGAAGGCACCACGAAAAAATTTTTGGAGTGCATGGCTAGCGCGACGCACCTTCGCTCGAAAAGATCCCAAAAATAATTTTTGTTCGCCCCCCCCCACCCCTCCGAACGGAGTGGGAGACTGCCAAGTTGTCATCAGAAGAAAGGTGTGTAAGACTTGCTCCATCTGGGTGACAAAAGATTATCTTTTGGATTATCTGAATACGATTTCTGACCAGAGTTAGACAATGTAAAGAATCGAGAATCGAATTTGTACAAAAAATTGAGGAAATACTAGTAATCAGAGATGCACAGAACTGAAAAAAGAGCTTTTGTAGCCTTGTGCCTGGCACCCTCAAAGGCAGCGGCCTGCAGATTTGGACATATTCGGATACTATTATAACCGAGTTTTACGGCCTCGATCTAGAACTATTGAGCAAATCCGACTTTCAAACATCCCCTCACAAGGAGACAATCGGAGCAGGAGTAGCCGACGAGCCTCGAAGACCACACCCATTCCTTTGCACGGCCCGCCTCCTTGAACGAACTCTCCCAGCCTTTGACGTTCACGTGGGAAACACTATATCTAGTGTCTAACTGTTAATGCTTGCTTTCGACAAGGATAGCATTAGGACCACTCGTCCACGGTTCTTACAAAATTGTCTCAAAAATGGGGGGGGGGTTGAGGAATTCACGCACAAGTGCTACATTTGGAATGAAAAGTGGAAGGCAAAAGAATAGTCGAGATTCTGCCTGGACGCTGGCTTTAACTTATCTTTGGAGGCAGTCCAGGCAGAATCTCGACTTCTCTTCTTTTGGCTTATTCAAGCCTTTTCATGGCGCTGACTCCAAATATGGTACTCTGAATGCGTGAATTCCTCAAAAAACCCCATTTTTGAGACAATTTTGTGAGCAGCCTGGACGAGTGCTTCTCTTGCAATCCTTGTCGAAGGCAAGCATTAACAGGTAGACACTATGTGTACCATCCTGTTTGCCACGTGAAAACACGCCAAGTGCAAGGAGAGTTCGCTCAAGGAAGCGGGCCGTCAGGGAGTAGGCGTGGTCCTCGAGGCTTGAACGAACTCTCCGCACCCTTGACTTGTTTTCACGTGGCAAACAGGATGGTACACATAGTGTCTACCTGTTAATGCTTGCTTTCGACAAGGATTGCAATTGAAGCACTCGTCCACGCTTCTCACAAAATTGTCTCAAAAATGGGGTTTTTGAGGAATTCACGCATGTTGAGTGCCATATTTGGAACCAGCGCCATGAAAAGGCCTGGATAAGGCAAGAAAATAGAAGTCGAAATTTTGCCTGGACGCTGCCTTTAGGGGTGGAGGACTGCATGGCGCCGAATGTGGGTGGCCCGCGCGGACTTCCTGCAAAACGCACCTCCATGCATGTGTAAAGGTGCGCATTCGTTGCAGACGACAGCGGGGACGGCCCCCTTCCGCGGCAGGTAGCCCTCTACCCTTCTTTAGATTTCAGAAATCGCTCCCTTCCTGGTATAAGTATAAGTATTGCTCATAGCCTCCTCTTGCTGCAGTATCAGAAGCCAAACTTCCTACACCTGAGGAAGTATGGTCTTCCAATAGGTCCATTTGGGGTATAGGACATTAGGTCGCCGAATTAGGAAGAGTCCCGCGCGGATTCCCTGCAGGAACGCATGTCCGCGTATGTACAAGGGTGCGTATTTGTCGCAAATGACCGCGGGCACCGCCCTCTTTCGGCGACCTAATGTCCTCCACCCGTCCATTTGGTTCAAAATCCGCCGTCTTATGTGCTTGTGAAGTGCAGTCACAGAAAATCGAGGAAAGAAAACCTGGCATCATCCTCTCATGGAGTTTTCTTTAGCAGATCTAAAGAAAATTCCATGAGAGGATGATGTCCACCGCAATGTCGCCCTCTGAGGTTCCGGAAATGAAGAGGAGGAGGAAGGGGTCTTGGAGGCTTTCAGGAAAAGAGGGGGGGGGGGTCGTTTTCGAAAGACTTGCGCCTAACCTTTTGCCCGACTCTGCTTGTGATCCCCGTAAGCTAGGTAGATGCCAGACTTAGCCGGTTCAACCGGTTTGTTCGGTTCACCCATTCGCTATTGGTCAAACCACTGGATTGACCAATAGGGAATGAGGTGAGCCGAATGAACGGGTTGAACCGGATAAATCTGGCACCTTCCTTAGGCGCAGCACAGTGAAGGGTCGTTTCTCGCAAAATCTTCTAGCGTGTTTGAGCTGAATGCGCCTTATTTTTGAGATTAGCAGTTGACCCGCAATCCCCCCTTCCATTTCCTTCATCACGGCGCCTTAGGCTTGATACATACCTCGCAGCTCATACCTCATACCTCGTATGGGCTAGACCAACGAGCAACGCTGCGGTCGGCTGCTTCCTGAGTGCTTGTTGAATGCAAAAAACCATCCAAAATATCTAACTGCGCCATCGCTAGGTTTTAAAATGCCGGAAACGAGAGAATTAGCATGTTTTGAGTTGGGATCCAGCGAGCATCCAGCATTCAGCATCCAGCGAGCTCTCGATCTAAATGCGGATCGCTTTCTAGGCAGGATCATCATTTAAGCTCGTTCTGTAAAGAAGAAACGGTAATATGATTTGTACGGATACGGGTTGATTGTGAACTGCAGCTGAACTGCTCCAATACCACAAAGCATGTGGAGCGGGCGCGCTGCGCAGCGGTCACCGCCTTTTGCTCGTTTTTCACGTTTTCTCAACTTTAATTTCTACTTTTAATAAGTGTCGGTCTTCTGTCGAGTTTGATTAGCTTACGATTATCTTAACATCCATCTGTGATGTCCAGCAGTCCCTCTATCCGCCATTCCGTTTGTCGCGTTTGTTGCGATTTTGCTTTTGTTTATTTGTTTTTTTCCAGAAACGTTTTTCTTTAGGGTCACCTGAACAGTCTCTGAGCTTTGAAGCTGTGTAAATTGTTGAGCCAAAGAGCACAGCTATCCGTAGGTCGAAATTTCTGTGGTTTGTTGTGACTGACGCTAGAGCAATGGTGAGTCATGTTGCATATGGATTTTTTGGTGAACCTCAAAGTGCGTTTTATCACACGATTTCCAGGCTGTGGTTTTTAAGTAGTTTTCTCATTACTGCCCGGCAATTTCCTTTCCCACAATTTCCATTGGATGCAGCTTGTATCTTAAAAATTCTTCTGACCTTCTTTTGCCAATGTTCCTTTATTATGACGGCAGAAGCGATATAGCGACAGATTAATTGCTCAAAACAGCTTTATTCATCAGTTCGAGTTGCTCTTCTACGATAAGTTTATAGACCTTCTGGAAAATCTTTTTTATCCATTTTGATCATTTTCTAGCTCGATCAGATTTTAATGCGTTCATTCTGTATCTGCTGAGCTCAAGTTTAGCAAAACAAGTTCAGCACAACAAACAAAACAATCTTTTTCGAATTCAGTTTGCACACCACCTTTGATACAATCAAAATAGTCACTGAGATTGAGAGAAGAGAGAGGGAGAAGTAATTTGAAATTGGAAGCCTTTCCAAACTGGATGATACTTACATTTCAGAGTGCAACATTACAACCTTACCTCGAAGCTGTTCGTCATACTCTTCAAGCGGCATTATGTCTGGAACAGTTCAGTTCTCAGGTGGTTGAGCGGCACATGAAGCCAGAGGTCAATTTTCATTATAGCAATCATATGCAATAGTCATCGTATGCATTGTTGTTTTATTTATTTGAATTTTATTTTTTTATACATCGAATATTATACTTTATAATTGTTCATTTTCGTTATTTTTGAAAAATTCATATCTGTTTTATATTCTTTGAAATCTGTCATCTTAGGTTGAAGTTCGCACATCAAAGGAGCTCCTGATGACCCCTGTTGTTGTAGCTCGTAATAAACAAGAGCGAGTCCTCATCGAACCTTCTATCAACTCCGTAAGGTCAGTCATACTTCTGTAAAGTCGAAGCAACTTTTGCATTTTGAACAAACAGATTTTGGTTCAACTTACAGACTTCGTATAAGTTGACAGAATCTGTTTGTTCAAAATGCAAAAGTTGCTTCGACTTCGACTCATGCCGTGTGAAAATAACCTACAAAGTAACGAGGTTCTTGTTTTTCTATGTATTTTCTGTAGTAAGCATTATGAGCACTCCATTAGGTATCATAAGTTACTATGAAAACAATAGTGCATTTAGGGTATCGATTTCGATAAAGCAATCGGATGAAATCGAGCGCATTCTTTGCCATAAATTCACACGATTTATGTGTCAACGAGCGGATAGTTTCTTTGTTTTGAGGCGCAAACCTTTACCAGGTTTGTTTTTTGCTTTAGATTGCCTTCTCGAATTCATTTTTGCTATTTTCATTCAGGATATGATATATCTTTTCTGATTACTGCCTCGCACACTGAAACGATGTACAAGCATAAGCTTGTTGACTTCTTGCTTCATTTCATGCAGGAAATTGATAAGGTTGGTGCCTGTTGGTGACTGCTGGTCATCATTGTAAGTAGTCAAAACACTTGTGCTGAAAAGTGCTCTATCTATTCGAATTCATTTTTCATTGATTTCTGTCCATGGGCTGTTCGTTCAGGATTGTGAAGGGGAGACTAGCGGAGTCTTCTAATCTCTTGATATGTGCATAACTATACAGGGATGTCTTCCATTTCATTCCAACATCCCTTTGGTTAAGGTTATGTCTTGACTACATCTTCAGAGATACGCTTTTCTCGGAATTTTTCCTATTTTTCGTTTGCGTAACTCGCTGTATTTCTTCCCAAGTTTTTTTCAGAAACAGTAGTAAAAAAGCAATTTCCTTCCTTTTCTAAATATTTTAGTTGTGATTACGCTTACCTTACGCTTTACTCTATAGTTTTTTGTGATTCTAGTTCACCTTCACTTTCAGGAAATCAGTGACATGAAGTTGGCACTGAATGCTCGAGCACGCGTTTCTGCAGAGGAGTTCCTGAAGCGTTTCAATTAATCCATTTTATGCAATCTTCACTGTCAGTCTTGTCTCCACCGTGTATGATCAAACGGCTCTAGCGCAACTGATTTCCGCCTCGATTTAGTGTCTTCAGCAAATGCTTAGCATATCTCGACTTCATCGAGTAATGTTGTGATTAGTTTGATTTGTGCTCCACAGAATTAAGCATTTGTGCCCGTTTCTGTAGTAATAGGCCATTGTTTATTGAGTCTGTCGTTAAATGTAATGTTTTACTGCCTTGCTGCTCCCATTTCTCACTTCAAATCAGTTAGCGCTTATTATGGAATGTTTCAGGTTTTTGATACTTGCGCTTGCTATACTCTTCCTCAAGCAAAGTCGGTCATCATATTTTTTCTGTTATCGAGTCAAATTTCTATGCTTTATGTGAATTTTTGCTCCAGACTTGCAAGTTTACGACTTGTTAGAACATGTTTATTTATTAAAATTATCTAATATCCTTTTCTTTATTAGATCTGCTTATTAATAAATGTGCTAAGAATGCCTAGCCAGTGTCTCATCGGTGAAGTCCAATCATATCGTTTGATTTCTCAGGGTATGTGTTGAGCCGATTATCTTCACTCTAGGTAGGAATGCGGTTGCCGGTGTTTCTCGGACTTTTGGCACTTTCAATCGCATCAGAAGAAGTAGCTACAACCGAAAGAACTACTTTTAGTGTTGAGGGCAATGTGAGTTTCCTGTTCTGTCTGCTTTATATTTTTCCCTTCATTTTGCATATTAAGTAATAGAATCATTCTTATTTTTGGCTTAACTAAGATTCTGGCCTTTTAGATCTTTCTAGGGGCTTGGCCCTTAGATTTTTCATGTTTCCGCACTGTTCAGGAAAGAGTCATATGCAGTGCTCAATGTTCTAGGTCATTTTTCCGTCATCTGCACATTCTGGTCGAAAATGGGCTGCCAACTCTCGAATACTTCTAAATCATGGTGAGCATATTGGATTTGTACGTGAAGACGGCTCATTCACTGTGGATAACGTACCAAGCGGTAGTTATATTGTGCAGGTAATCAATGAAGTCTTTTTTTGTAAGATCCTCAAGATACTATCCAGGTTGAAAATGTTGATTTTGTGTTCGAACCGATTCGCGTGGACATCACCGGCAAAGGAAAGATTCGCGCTAGAAAGTTAACTGTCTTACAGGTATGGGCATCTTTGCTTTTATACCTTCTTTGCTTCACAGATCTCTAGCAACTGATTTTCAGCCAAATGTTGTGAATCAACTACCTTACCCACTGAAACTCAGCGCGAGAGAGGCGACACGATATTTCCGCAAGCGAGAAGAATGGAGAATTACTGACATGTTGATGAATCCAATGGTTCTTATGCTCGTGGTCCCGCTCGTGATCATGCTCATTATTCCAAAGTAAGTTTTTTGTTGTTGCATTTTTTGAATCTCGTAGAACGGTTACAAAAATGATATGAGTTGCACACTCTAGAAATTTTTTGGTCAAGGCCTTTTTCGAACATACAGAGTGCCCAAAAATGTGGCCACCGTTTGATCGTTAATGACTTTCTTGTTTTGAGCTCTTTTGCTGAATGTTGAAAACCACTAATTCTGTAGAGCAAGTTTTAAGTTTACAGTGCGGAGCGTACCGACCGCTTTTCGTAGAGATTTTCAGTATACAGAAGCATTTTGAAATAGGTTGACAAATTTTCTCAAATTTAAAAGTTGTTGAGAAGGATTCTCACGCACGCTGATTTCATACGCAGCTGCGATCTCTTGAGCTTGCCCAATGCTGTAATCGTATTTTTGAGATGGAAAAGCCGTTGTTACGGTATATCCAGAACTTATGAAAAAAGATTACAAGAAGGTGCAAGTTTCATATTCAAGATCAGCGGCTTCGTTTTGCATCGTATAAGAGTTTATGGCTTTTTTACCTTAATTTAGCAGAATATTGCTTTCGACATTTTGGACTAAAATCACTTCCAAAATTCACCCCTTATCATACAGTAATGAATAATAAGTGGTAATTCGCTCCATAATGAGGATCTGTTCATACCTTATCCTAAAGTAATGAACAGCAACTGGTAATTCGCTCCATAGGATCTAAGTTGAAGCTAGTTCTACAGAATGGTACCTAAAGTTCGGCGAAAGACATCAAAGTAAGAGTTATTAACGAGCAAACGTGTACACATTTTTTATTAACCGTGTGTATTTTGAGAAAAGAATTTTATGGCGCTGCATTCCATCATTACAACAGTGTTCAACATATCTGCACATGTAAGATATTGATTCTGTGCGCGTCTCCGTGTTTGACTAGACGTTTATGTAGGATTATGCTAAGTAGGTAGCGACATTGTGGCGCACATCGACTAAAACTGTATCGATTATGAAAAGTGTTCAGTGTGGGGGTTGCTTGAGCGGGGAGGATGGTAAATTCGCTACATAGAATCATCTTCAGAAATTTGAGTACTGGGTACCTTTTCACCCTCGCGCACCATTTCAGCAAGCTTGGATTCGGTTCTATTCGCTTAACTGCGCGTATAAGGAAGAGCGAAGTGGTTGAATTTGAAACGTAGAACAGCAGCGCCTAAGCATTCGTCAATGGTTCTCCCCGAGTCCAGTCCATTGGCTGTTCGATTTCTCTCAATTTTGGCGGGACCTCGCTCAAAACACCATAGCCGAATCGAATTAAATTTTTATTCTCTCGAAGCTGCGACATCCACGTTGAAGGATCATTCATAGTTTGTATCGCGAAGCAGTTTCCATAGTTATCTTTTTATTTGTCTCGACTTATCTTTCTGAAACATTAATGACGAATTTAAAGCTTCGAAGGCTTTGTCCATCTCATAAAATAATTGTGTTAAGGATGACGGCCAACGATCCACAGTTGCAGAAAGAAATGGCTGAAATGCAAATGCCAAAGGTACGGTTTGAGTTCTTTCTTTTGCTTTTTTCAAACTCTAACTTACCCGCATCGTCATCCACCAGAAATTTAGCTGAAGCTTTGCAATGCTTCAACGTTCAATAAATATTGTTTCAGTTGGATATGCCCGACATGAGTGAAATGATGGCTAATCTTTTCGGTGGGGCCCCAAAACCAAAGAAAAAAGCTGTCACAAATGGACCTCAAAAGAAGAAGTAAGGCTGCTCTAGTCGTGGTATTTTTTATCTCTCTCCATAATACAGTGCCAATACATTTCGGTTTTTTTAGCAGGTGATTTGGAAGAGCTTTCTAACCTCTGGTCGATGTCACTCATCTCCTGCTCACGGATATGTCTGAAGCGGATTTGTTCTTTTTTCTCTGTGAATGTGCTGTAATTGTCGTTAGATAGCTGTCTCGTGCAACTGTTCTTTGCAAATATCGTAATAGCTTTTGCTATTTCTTAAACGTTATGTCTAGTGAGAATCGTAGGTGTCACGGGTATGTGATATTACTTTACTCTTAAGTATTCATGAGTGAAAGAATGGCTACCCTGTAGAAACTTTTTTTTTCGTACTTGAGACGCAAAATTACACCGATTCTAAATGCCCAGCTGATGCAGACGGTTGCCATGAGCAACCGTAATGGACTGGGCTATATTTTGCCATCTGCACTCTTACTCGATTTGATCCCTTTTTTTTCTTTCGTTTTCTCTTTCTTCTAGTTTTTATGACGATCTTATTGTACTTAATTACTCACTGATAAAGAAAGTATATATTGCCTGGTTTTCCACTCATCTCAAACATCACGAATTTTTTCTCGGCGAAATTCAGTGCTTTCTAACCCTCTCTGTAATCAGATACGAGATTGGGCTCTTCTCTTATTTCCGTGTTTTGATTTGTGAGAGATGAGCCGCCGGTGATCGTTAAATAGGATAATCCTCGATTTCGTTTACGGCTGTCGCATTTCTATAGCAAAGAAAGCTTGCCGCCTGTGGGTTGCGCAATCAGGCCACGAGAAACTCGATAGAACAATAGGAAGCGGGATTTTTGTGTCATCCTAGACGCAAAAACAAAGTAAACAAAGATGTTTGTTGTAGCAATGATAGTTTCTAAGCTGAATTCGCATGAACTGTAGCAAAAGTCCAAGCCAAATGATTGTAATGAGGGTCTTGGAAATTGTGCCCCACCACTTCTTCGGAGCGACTAGTCTTAGAAAAAAACCATGCTTCATAAACATTGCCTACATCAACTCAAAGCGCTTTTCTTCTAGGTTTTCGTATACTTTCCTATTCATGGAGCTGCATTCAATCTGCAATTACGTATCTTGATAGGACGAAGTTTTTTGCTCTCCATGAAGTCCATAGGCAAAAGTCCCAAATTAATATGTGCAATATCTTGGGTGCTACAAAGTACTAATCAGAGAATTTTCAAATTGACTTGATTGTCTTGTAGTCCTTATGAGTAGAGCTATAATTATAAGCAAAGTGCGTTTACGTACTTCTGCCATATAATGTCCATTAGGACATTTGATGTGAAAGAAAAATTGCCTCGTCCATTAGCAGCGAAAACTCCATTCGCTATCTTTGGGAAAGCGAAGTTTTTTGATTTTCTTTAGAGTTTCTTTTGAAAATTGGAAAAACCGGCACTTTACTCCTCACTGTGTAAGAAAGATTAATCGAAGTGGTCTTAATGTATGAGATGTATAATGACTTGAAGGGTGTGAAAGGCTGAATCCAAATCTAGCTTTCTTATTGTTGAGGGCTTTTGAGTGAGGAGTTTTGAAGGTTTTTATGGGCAAAAAATTCAATGCATGATCAGTGTGAAACAGTGGCGTACCCAGGACTTCCGCTCGGGGGGAGGGGGGCGCGACAAAAAATTTTTTCGAATGAAGGTGCGTGGCGTCAGCCACGCTCCCGAGAAAAAATTATTTTACAAGGCTAATTTGAATTTTTAAAAATTTTTAAAAATTATTTTAATTATTTACAAATGTGAACAAGTCCCTTACACATTTTTATAACCCATATAAGTAACTTCCAAAAATTTCGCGACCCATTCTCGGGGAAGGGGGGGGGCGCCCCCCCTCCCCCGCCCCCCCCCCTTGGTACGCCACTGGTGTGAAATCCGTCGTTGACTTTTCCTAATGCTCCAAAGTGGCAGAGTTAAGTGAATATGTTCAAACTATCATAAGAATATTTATTGCAATGAGTAACTCGAAAATTATTCGAGCCGTAGGAAAATTGTTACGACTGAATTCGTCCTAGCACATGCAGCTTTTTATTCATAAAACTTTTCTAACTCTTCGCCCAGGAACCCGCAGCAGATAAGGACAGAGTCCGGCACGAGGTGGGCAAATGACAGGCCGGAAATCGTTTTGGGTGAGGAAGCAAAGGGATTATCGTTTTTGCGGGTCCATAAACTACCATTTTTTTCGGGGGCGAAGCCCAAGAAAAAACTGGTAGTTTATGCTCTCTGCTTATCTTAACATGTTAATATCGTCTACGCCCCAGAGAGGTTCCCATAGGTACCACGTCATCTCGCTGCCTTTCGCACTTTTGAACGTGTTAACCTCGGGCACTTCCCTTGAAATCGCAAGAGAAACGTGTCAGAAAGAGCGAAAGGCAGCGTCGCACCATGTACGCACGCTGGTTCACATGGGAACCTCTCTGGGGCGCAGACGGTACGTACCTCAACAGGCGAGCACTTGAGTTCGCGCACGTCAGGCGTCATCGCTAATCGCTGCACGCGCGACGTCGCCACCGATGCTATTTGTGACAGCATACATGACTAGTTCTCAATGTAAACGTAACGATATGGCACCAATTTTTGTAAGCAAACGAAGAGAGACTAATGGAAACAAAATATGAAAAGCTATGAAAAACTTTTGTGAATGGGAGGTGTAATAAGCGTTTTGTTTTCCAAAAATTTTGCATAATTGTAGTGAAGATAGGAAATTAAATGACTCGTCTACAACGCACAGATGAGGGTATGGTATGAAACTTGGCAAGTACACAAACAAGTACACAAACACGGGCCTGCAGAGCTTCACTGAAGAGTTTCAATGAAAAATTATGTGACTGAAGGTTGTGGCAAGCTTTTTTCTGAATTTCCCGCTACCAAAAAATGGAAAAATGGTCTTTTGCAACGCAAGGTGACGAAATCGCGCGAGATTTGGTGTGTATACGCGCACTATAGGTTATTCAAAAAATCGTGACGATGGCGCGACCGCGCGCGACACGCACGCCACTTCCGGAACTCGCATTTTCTTGGTTTTCATCGCTAGTCGAATGATTTTTTACTTACGCAAGATAATATTTAGACACTGGAAGTGACTGAGCTGAACGTTGATGTGATGCCTTCTTGTACGAGCGTTTTATGCTCTTGTGAGTGTAAAGTCCGCAGCAAAATCTATCGTTGCGATTTTATAAATGAACTATAGAACTAAAGAGCAAAGTTTGAAAATTTATGAAAAACTTATGTGGATAAGAGCGTGGCCAACTTTTTACAAAACTAGGTTGGCGATTGCCAACCTAATGCTCACCTGAGGTTGGCAAAACTTCCAATTCACATAATTTTTTCAAAATTTCTGAAGAATCTGTTCTACACCTAAAGCTTAGTATATATTAACGTTTTGGTTTCAAAACCCCTCCTCTCCTCCGTGTTAGGATCCGGAATAGCAACGACGCCGGTCCTTCCGAGGAAGAAAGCGCGCTCCAATCAAACAACCTACGGAGCTGGTGGGATCAAGTGGAACCGTAAAAATTTATAGCAGCAAAGGCGAAGTCGTTTCACCGAAATCCGTTTGCCACCCTCGTGCTGTGTCCTGGATAAGGAAGGTAGATTTGGAGTAACCGTTTCATACCCTTCATGACGGTATCCATCTCATATTGAAAGGCCACTGACTAACCATCCTTTCCTTGTCAGTCGATCATTTGCTATGTAATGAGCAATGTTCAATTTTTCTGCATTTCAGGTTGAGGTACCGCTTGGAAAAGTAGGATTAGAGAAAATTGATTAACGGTCTTTGCGCTAGTAAATCTTTCCTGTTGTTGCTGTAGGTACTATCTCTCAGGGGTCTTAGTACTGACAAAGATTGTTGATCGTAAGAAATTTATCACGCTTAAAAAATTATCTTGATTTGGATTTGAACTTTATTACATGTAGAGCTGTTGAATCAGCTCAATATGTTTTGACTTCTCATTAAATGGAAAAGATCATGGATTTTCCTCGATGACTATCGAATAGGCTTTTCAATATCAGATAACCAACAAATCAAAGACATGTGTTTTATTAGATGTGGATTAAATGTTTTAAAGATTTCGTTTTTTGATTCAAATGTATTGAATGTAATGTAATGTAGTATGTAAATGACAGTGGCGTACCGAAGGGGGGGGGCGGGGGGGGGCGCGCGCCCCCCCCCCCCGAGAATGGGTCGCGAAATTTTTGAAAGTTACTTATAAGGGTTATAAAAATGTGCAAATGATTTGTTTATACTTGTAAATAATTAAAATATTTTTTAAAATTTTTTAAAAATTCAAATTAGCTTTATAAAAAAAATTTTTTCGGGGGCGTGGCTGACGCCACGCCCCCTTTTTCTGGATTTTCGGGGCTATGAGGCCGCGAAAACTTTTGAAACCATCCCCAAAATTTTTTCGGAGTGCGTGGCTAATGCCACGCACCTTCATTAGAAAAAAATTTTTGTCGCGCCCCCCCCCCCCCCCCGAGCCGAAATCCTGGGTACGCCACTGGTAAATGATAACATGAAAGATATTATGTTTTACAACAAATAATTGAACAATATTCGAACTTGTAGTTCAGGATGCATGCTTTTGTGAATGACGTTCGCTGATAAGTCATAACAAAAAAATTTTTTTTCTCTATTTATCTTACGCATCATCTCACATTTCGCTCAAATATCTGTGAAGTACATGCCATTCGTGTTTTGCAAAAGTGCCCTCACCTTGATAGCGACAGCTGCTTCAAATTTGGATAAGAGTAAATACCTGAGTTAAGCACAATACGAGTATGTAATCTCAGACAAGTGCAACTGATTCTGTTGGTGTTTACTGGTACAATCACCTCTTATAAAGTTTCTGTAAATTTCATTGGAAATTTTTTGAGTTTTCGTTTGAAGAACAAAAATATGCTGCACAGACTTGGTTTTGAAAAGCCCATCAACCCGTTAAAATCTGGTAAGGCAGTTAATTGCTTGTTGAGCAGATATTACTACTTTTACAAGAACACTGGAGGAAGCGTTTCTAGAATGAGAACAAAATAATTTGTAAGAATATTTTGATAAATTCCGGTTCATCCGTTCTTATAGAAAACACAACGAGATACAAATTTCGGTTTAATTCAATCTCAACTCAGCACGAATAATAATGCCCGCACGAGTTATTTTCTCTAACTGAACTTTCTCGGATTATTTACCCATTATTTATTTTCCTCTATTTACCCACTCTTAGCGGGGATTTTCTTGCTGAAAAAAGATTTATTCCATAGAGCTTTTGGCATAGGAACAGAATATTGTGCTTTAGAGAGCGCAATATATTGTGTCCGGTGCACTCACCTGCGCCGAATATAGAAATTACCAGTGCGTCACCTCTGCTTCGCAGAGGTGACGCACTGGCTCTACTTTCTGTATGCCTTACTCAATCCCGCATAATAGTGACATTGAAACTCACCGCGTTATGCAGGCTATCATGAATGATTTGTAAACAGCTACTCATTCCCAGAGCTTTTTTGCGTGACATCGGTATTTTCACGTGGATGAAACTTTTCTCGGAAGAATAAATGCAAATTTGAGTAGGTTTGTGAACTTTTTATGGCTTGGTAGTTGCCATAACGGCAACAATCATCGTGGGCTACATCTCTGTGCAAAAATCTTTTTAAATGATCAGGTAAAATCTTGGGAAATTGAGCATTTACGCAACTAATTCTTTTTGGCGCCATCTTCGTAAAGTAACCAACTTTAGTCGAATTTTTTGGGCTAAAGTCCATGGCTTGTACATTAGCTTGTCAAACATATCCACGGCTTTGCAAAAAGTTTTTATACGGACCCAATTTTGCTGGCCAGAAGTTAAGCGGACCTGTTTCATGCGCAGTTTCTAGGGGATCCACTTATCGGATCCGCTTGTGCTTTTGCACAATGGACTTTTTTGCTGCTAGGATGTACTATGCAAAATTTGGGCTCAAGAGGTTGGCTGGAACTCTTCCTACGAATTTCGTGACAGACAGAGATTCACACACACACACTAACGTAAACAACCGTTAGCCCGTTATTATAAGTTATGATTCTAAACAACCATTCCTATTGGAAGAAATGGCAAATTAATAAATTGAAAACTGACAAGCTTAGTCGAACTAGCCCCTCATTTTCTATTGCGTTTTTTGCATAATCCTTAATTCAAAATCATCTCACCTCGATGTGACAAATGGTACGAGGGCAGCTCGATGATGCGAAAGAATTCGCTTGTGAATGAGTTGTGATTGATTACGGTAGCCGAGATGAAACGCAGCCGCGACACATCGTTGCGATGACGTCATTGGGATTCGCTTCATGCGCGGTGCGATCCGTTGATTACGGTATGGTGAACAAGCGTGAAGAAAATATATATGAGAAATTTCATAAGAGAAGCTTTTGGGGGGGGGGTATGTGATCTCTATGGATGAAACTCGTGGGAAATTATAGCAACCTCTTTGAAATGAAATGACTTACTGTATTTTGTGATCGGCTCCCAGATTCATGTGGAGGCGGATCACGAACTTCCCTGATTATGAAGATAAGCTTAAGGAGAAAGTACGAAATACAATGCTATAACGTGGAGGTTTAACAAGTTTATCCTAAAAATCAGGGAAGTCCGCAACCCGCCTCCACACGAATCTGGGGCCGCTGATACAAGATAAAATGCGTTTTACACTCATACAGCTAGATTACAGACTTGATTAAGATAGTACTTACGGAATTTCTAGTTTATACACATGCCATTTTCGTTAAAAATGCTTTTCCACCATCATTCCCCACCTTGGTCTTTAATTTTGATGTTGTAATAAGCTACTCTTGCGATCAATAATTGCTATGTTTTTCAATCTCGCTGATTTATAGAACATGGGGTTTCTTTCCTCACTGTCACAAATGCTCGGTGTTGGACGACGACAAGTGAATGTCATCGTTGTAGGACTCGATAACTCAGGAAAGGTAAGAAATCGATAAATAATCAATAAAAGTCAATTTCTTAACTTCAAAGACTGTAATGATCTGCATAAAAGATCCCAGAAACTACAGTTTCATCTATTTCAGACCACAATGCTCAACTACTTGCGAACACCAGATACGAGGACCAGCCAAGTCGTGCCAACAGTAGGCTACTCCGTCACAAATTTTGTCACAGAAAACTTCAGCTTCACAGCATTTGATATGGCTGGACAAGGCGAGTAATAATTCATTTCATCACACTATAAGCAGGAAGCTTGATATTTATCCACACTAACTTTTAACGAACATCTGAAATCAAAAACATGCCTTGGCGCATAGGCATTTGTAGCGGGATTATTCAAGATTTTTTTGTGGGGGGAGGAGAGGGAAAGAAGATAATTCTTCTGAATAAATGGGCGTGACCTCAAACTCTCTAAATAAAATTCGGGATGCTTTCCAAGTTTTCCGCAAGCTTGTAACATTAAGCTTTTACTTAAAAATCGAGAAAAATTCAAAGCTCAATTTTGCTGAAATTTCGTTTATTTTGAGCAATCACGAAAAGAAGACAATGGCATAGTTTTGCAGCACGTGTGCAGAAAAAAGGTTCCTTGTAATAGCAAAAAATCAAGTGCTACGAAAAAGTTTAAGGAAAAAAATTAGCGCGCCCACCACTCATACACAGAGAACAACTTAAAACCCAGAATATCTCTATCTTGCGTTGATATTAGCCTCACCCATAAATCCACACCGCCATCGTAAATATATCCCTTCAGGATCAACATATGGTTAAATGCCACAGGTAGACCATAAATTCACGCCAGATCCATATTTTACGACTATGCATGCACAATAGTGCCAGTGGTCGATTTCACACATTTCAGGAAAATACCGTAACTTATGGGAAACATACTACGCAAGTGCACAAGCGGTCATTTTTGTTGTGGATAGTGCGGACAAATTACGAATGGCAGTGGCACGAGACGAGCTGTTTATGATACTTGATCATAAGGATATTACTGGGCGACAGGTGGGTACATAAAGAAGAAACTTTTTTGGTAAATTTTTGAATTGGTTCACATACACGTGAGACTGGATTGAGATTTTGGCAATTTCTGAGAATTTTTGGGGAGAATATCTAACCTAGATTGAAATAAAAAAATTACTTTTCTGAATTTTAGACGGGTAAACCACGGTTGTCGCATTTATCGACTCATTGATTGACGAAAGTAATTATACAGAAACTTTAAATGAGCATGAAGATTTAGCTGGCATTTTCTATAAAATTATATAACTGGAAATTATGGCAATTCCTAAGAAATTTCATGGTTCAGGAAAAATCTTTTTCTAAAAAAACGGAAATATCACTTCCTGGAAGATTAAAAGAGTTAAAATTACACACGATTGCGTTTATTGATTTTATTGATTGATGAAAACCCCGAAATTTCAGATTCCCATTCTTGTGTTGGCAAACAAGATGGACGCTAAAGATGCTCTGACTGCAGCAGAAATCTCGACAAGTCTAGGTAATCATCATCTTTTTTTTGGTCCAGTCATTTTTTTTAATTTTTACTTTTTTATCTTAGGGTTGGACCTAATCCGGGGCCATAAATGGAATATCCATGCGACATGTGCGCTGAACGGGGCTGGCATTCAGCGAGCACTTGAATGGCTCTCAAAAGAAATCAAAACTTATTTGGATTCACTGAAGTAATCAATAAATCGATATATTGATTTTTCACGCTTGCTTGTTGTGAATGTGTCAGACACCATGAAATCAAATCCTCTTAGTAAGTGAGAACTGTTTATGCTGAGATTCTTTGACAACTAGCGCTAATCCGACACATCTACAGTAATCCGATCTGTTTTGGCAAGCGTCCAGCTGTGCGCGTTGCTAGCAAAGCGTTCATTTTTGCTATATTGATAGCTCAAAAGAATTCGACGCAAGTGATATGAGAGAAAGGAGAAGTATTATGTTCGCAGAGATAAATAAATAACCACTAGTGACTTTAATGGGTTTCTGAATGACTTTTATGGGCTTGCGAAGTGCTTGATGTGCGCTGATAGTGGGCACATATGATGCAGCAATTACTTTTGATTAGTGGTAGCTACTGTTCAGCTTTTATCTTCTCTTCACGCAAATTTTGATCATATTCTCAATTCCCTTTCCTTCTGTTTTCTGCGCAACTTATATGAAGCTAAAAAGTCGAATAATGCCTTAGCTAACCCAGATTTATCGTCAGTACAACCTCAAAAATCTGCAAAATAATTGAGGTAGAGTTTAAAGGGCCTAATGTGCATTATTGGGAATTCAGGTTCCAACAGAGGAGGTATATTATGAATGACCCAATTCGCTCTATAAAAAAATATTCTTACTTCCTGGGGAACTCGTTCTTTTTTCGTCTCTTGCTGACGTTGTAGATGCTAGTACGTACTGTAAAATGATCTTGTCCTGGCTAATGCTATACTTTAGCATTCTCTCCGACTTTTCAAGCTACTCCAGAAACAGTCTGATTATAACCAGGGCATCAAGTGCTCAGAGAAGGGTCACAGAAGCCGCATGTGATAGCGCTTCTTATGATCGTTACGTAATTAGCCTTCAGTAGTGCGGTCAATGACATAACCGTCCAGATTATGGGTATTTGTCACTTATCTACTTTGTCACTCCTCGACTGTTTACGTTCAAGTGTTTGTATTCTATTCCTATATGATGTGAAAATATTCAAAAAAAGCACATGCTCTTGAAATTTTTCAAAAACTTATCTGGAACATCCTCGGTAATCGTACACTACGCAGCAAGTTCCTAACACAGGAATATCACTTTTGTAGGGTTGTAAAAGTCTTCTGCATAATTTTCATAATAGTTAGTAACACCCACTTCAATTACTTATTTGTATTTTTCGGATAAAGTAGTGAGGACTAGGTAAGTAAAAAGCAAGCCTGTAGGCTGAACATTAATATCTTTAGGAAACTTTTATCTTTTTTGTTGCCTTACAAATATGATGAAGACGTCAATCATGCTTGAAGCTGATCACTTCGTTACTAATTTTTATGGGTACATGCTTACAGTATCTGGTATTATCTATTGTAGCGACTTGGAACTAATAGGATATTAATTTAACAAAATGTGATGAACCTTTGATGAAGACTATGCTGACCCTAGTGAATAAACATCCATTGTTTTGTGAAAGAATATTTCTGAAAACTCCTTAAAGTAGGTAGACGTGCGTAGTAGTTTACTTCTAACCCGTACGTACTCAATGAAAAAAGTCATTATTAAACATAAAAATGTTTTTTCTCGCATAACTGTAGCCCCAGCGTCCCATTCGAAGAGCACCACCGAATTAAAGGCATTGGCACAAATGACAACGCAAACATATTGGTGTAAACTCTCAAGTTTCTTACTTTCGCCGCAAAATGGAGTTTCTGAGTTTTGTGTGTATTTTCAGGAGTTGGTTTGGTACAACATTGGCTCGTGATGATTTTACCATGAAATAAACATATGATAAAGCGATCCCCAATAATAGTCCACAGCAATTTTTTGTCATGCCACAAAGAAGAATAAAACAAGAAAACCCGAGCGACCTTGTCCTAACGCAACACATCGCTGGCGCAATCCGCAGCGACGAATTAGGAATCTGTGCCATGCGGATCGAAACGGACCGCGCGCGGTCACATCAAACACCGTAATCCATCACTAGCTGTGAGTTTTATTGCCACAGTGTCGAATGGTCTGGGGCGGCTCCAGCAATGGCATCCTGGAACGAGCAAAGGAAAGGTTATTTTGTCCAGAGAGCAGCAAAAATTTGCACTCCCTGACAATTTGAAAGTATTAACATAATTTTTATGCTGTGCAGGATGCAGTGGTCATAATGTGAAGGTAGCCGCTAATGACAATTTAAGATCTAGAACACAATTCCTTCCCAGTCTGCTTCCAAATTGAAACTTGATTATTTCTAACTCTGTTTTAACATCCCTGTCCCGCTTGGTTACTTTTATTCCATAAATACTACTCTCTTCAGCTCGTCTTTGCCCTCCTCCCCCCTCTCACTGTCCTATTCTTACGGTCACATATTTTGCCTATGCTGCTCAGTGTTTCCCTTGAATTCCGTACCCGGGCAAATCTCCCCGGAGCAAGCACCTGGATTTTTATGACGTAAATTCTTAGCTAATTCATTGTTCCGGGATTGGGATCAAATTTACTCAAAACCGAGCATTCAAATCCGTGCTCTCGCCACAACCGTAACCTCTTCTGACATACCAGTTTATCTACGATGAAATGGAGCTACTGCTTAGCAAAGGCGAAGGTCAAAAGCTTCCAAGTTTCCCAGCCAAAAATATCCGGAATTTTTTGGACACTGTCTTTGAACAATTTGAAGTTTTCGAGCATCTTTATAACACCAAAAGTTTTCCAAGGAAGCTCCAGCAGGTGAAGCAAGAGATTTGGGGAGAGGGAAGCTCAAATGAGGGTGGCTGCTGAAATAAAGAGCCGTAGGCAGGATTGGGCAGGTTTTTTGGATTGCAGATTCTATCATGTTGCTTATGTCATTGAGTTTGAGAAAATAATGAAGATTATAGTTTTGCGATTGCTTTCTCTTCGTCCATCACCAATTCAAATAGTCAAGACATCCTTGAAAGGACCGGACTTCTTCAATATCGCACACAGTAGGACAAAAGCTTCTTGATCGTTGCTCAACTTTCCACTTCAGTACCCAATCATCATTCCCAAAAAATAAATCGGTAGCAGTTGGAACTCTCCCACAAATGACCTCCGAAGATCATAAATCAGTTACGCCAACAACGTTTGCCGGTCGTATTCTGCCTCGTCTTGCCTTTATTCTACCGCTTTACAAGCGCTGATAGCGAACGACTACTCAGGTCGTCGTCGGACTCGGGAAGTGGTTACGGTAGTGGAGAGTAAATTGTTCACTTGCACATAGTACTATCAGTTGAACGGCTGATATTCTTCGTTCCTAGAGTCCTTAGCTTTAGAGTTAGGGATCAGCTGACTGGTTCGTCCATGCCCTATGGGTTGCTGTGCGAAAATGAGCCGCGAGCACAGTGACCGTGCCGCGCGCTGTCCTGGTTCACGTCTGGCTTCCGTAGGCAACGATGGGCGTGACCCAGAAGTTGTAAATGCTGTTGTCAGACATATTACACCTCTTTTTTCGTCATAGTTTACCGCTCTTTACTACTCTGAGAAAATCTCTTACCGCTGCAGATTTGCAGGACATTCTTTTACTAGCAATTTTACAGAAATCTTATGAACTGAAGATTTTTCTGTGCATGCAAAATTATCGAAGAATATGGCTCGAGGTTTTCAGTTTTTTTTTTTCGAAACAGAATTTATGTACATGACACGTTTACGTGAGATTCTTAGATTACACCATGGAGGTGATCATGATATGATAAAGCTATCATCTTTTAAAAGCTATTCATTTCTATGGAACTTTCTTTCATTGTCCAGCCACCATGATTTAAAATCTCTGCGTTTGTGACTGCGAATCCTTGTCTTATAAAGTAAGTACTTCATGTCATGATTGTAGGACTTTTTGTTTATTTTCCAGTCAAAGAATATTCCACATTTCATTTCGTTACTCACACGTTCTAACTGTAGAAAAGGTTATTTTAAATACTGCCGCTGGTGAGTTCTTAAAACTCTATGAAAACCTCAAAAATTCTCTTAGGATATTTAAGATAGGTGAAATTTTGTTGATGAACTTCAAGATATGGTAGATTACTAGGACTTCTTTATGTCACCATCATTCTTTTGTAATGCTATATATATATTTTTACTAGATATTATAGTCTTCTTTACCACAAATGTTCAGATTACCATAATACCCTTTTTTTACCTATTTTTTATGCGGTTGCAAGTGCTAATTTTTGTAAATCATCTGCAACATGTTACAAATAGGATTTTTTTGATGAGTCAGGATGAGTTGCAATTAGCGAAATCTCTATTTTATCATGACTGTTATTGTTCTGGTTTACTTGTGATTCCGATCCAATATTACCCCATCAGTGCTACATCGCACTGTCAGTTTCTTGTGAATCTCAGGACTTTTTTTGGCTTTCGCTTCCTTCGTCTTCAAATCACAAATTCCAGACTAACTCTTTGCACTCCACAGATAATCTTTGAAGTCAGAAATCTGCCCTAAAGCAGTGTTCCATGAAGCTGTGTGGTATCTCACAGAAAGCTGCAATTTATTTGTTTCTTGAGTGAAGTTGGAAAACGCAATTTCGTTATTATTTGCTGTATATCTGTAGAGATTTCCCGCATCACAGGCTTTTCCTACCAGTCGGCTAACAAAAATCAAATAATCCTCGCTTAAGACCCATCCAAGCATGGGCCCTTCAACTTTGGCGGCTCCCTCCTCCGAGTGGCCAGCCGCCTACGTTCGTTGTGCTCCCACCCGCCTAATCCGCACGTATCTCTTTTGTTGTCGCTGATTAGCATTCTTCAACTAATATATGCATCGAATGCGGGTAGAAGAGCCGTTCTTATTTGTGTAGGTGTCGCGAGAATGTCGTGAGCGCTAGGTGTGGGTCGAATTTACTATGCAGGGTCATGACCTTCGTCAAACTTCTTCGCACGGGGGTATTGCCATGAACTCACGTAACTCTTAATCCTTTCGCTACCGTAACTCGCAAGGAGGAGAGGTTCAGTTAATTGCTCTCCACACACGCACGCTTACCATTTTTATGGCTGTCGTTAAATGGAGAGGAAATTGTCGCGTTTGAGAGACTATGCGACTGCGGCTGATTCGTCGAACAACCGATTCGTAATGGAGAATTTGGAACCTGAGACAGTTTTTTGGGCATTGCGGGACTCAAAAGCAGATCAGTGACTGAGCAGATGATCTTGCGCAAAGCAATCAAAGTTCTAGAAGCTTAAACCATAAAAAGTTTACTAAGCTGTGCAAGACACTAACAGTACCATAAAAAACATTTTCAGGATTAGAAATGACTCCAGAATTTTCGTAATTCTATCTCAAACACTCAAGATATTCCTGCTAAATCTTCAAACCATATCTTTCAGTTTCATAGCACTTACACAAGAAATGCACTTTTCAAGCAGTTATGGTTCATTTATAAAATCGTGACGACGGATCCTACTGCGGACTTTGCGCTCACAGGAGCATAAAGCGCTTATACAAGAAGGCATCACCTCAACGTTCAGCTCAGTCACTTCCAGTGTATAAATATTAACCATATACGTAGGCGAAAAAACCATTCGACAAAATGAAAATCAAGAAAATGCGATTTCCGGAAATGGCGTGCGTGTCGCGCGCGGTCGCACCATCGTCACAATTTCTCAAATGCCCTGTAGGTTTCTAAAATTTCCACAGGCAATAGGATTTTTCATCTAACCAAGAATAAATGAAGATAAACAATAAGAATCGTATAAACAGACGATTAGCAGATTTAGAGTCCATTCTCAGATATTGCTCACAACTAATAGTTTTGATTCATAATCAGCAGAAGCTTGAATTCCTTTAGCGTATTATTTGACATGGTCCGAAACCTTGTGCTGAGAAATTATTTTAACGCCATAAAAGACCAGACTATCGATCGAATTTCCAATATGTCCATTTAGCTGCTACCAATAAACTTGAGCTTTGGGTTATTTGGATGAAAAGAGCTCTAAGTTCCATAAATTGACACACGATGAACTATTTATTGAATCTGAGAATAAGCTTTTTTTTCTGACAGACGTTTTCAAAATTAGTTCTTATCTTCAAAAGCGCGTCATTTCTAAACGCTCATTGAGCATATATTTTCAAACAAATTTAAAAAAAAGTCAAGATTTTGTTACAAAAGTTACTAAAACTTTATTTTGATGTATTTGTAGTCCACCAAGCTACTTTTGAAAACAGATGGAAGGTATATAAACAAGGAAAAGGAGGATTGGGTTTTTATTCGAACAAATTATGCAGAAATTGTAAGCAATCCAAAACAGCGAGCGGGGAAGCTTAGGGAATTCTTTCGATTTTTGAGTCACTCACTCACTAACACTGACTTTCGGTAATCATCAGCTGATGCTGAAAACCTACAAAAAGCTTGTTATCAGTATTTTCCATTCTCTACCTGCCGCTGACACCTAGTCTGAATCAGAACTCCTTATTTTCAGATGTCGTCTGTCGTGAAGACGGAAGGCACAAATATTTGGCCACCGGGCATGATTCCGCCATTCTGGTATTCACAACCCGAACTCATGTGAGTTTGTCATTTCACTGCGTTTTTGCTTATTAAAGGTCTCGACAGCACTAAATCACACATTTTACAATGTGTGAGGTTGTTCTGGAACGCTCAATGTGCGTGAAAAGTGCCCATAAAGTTTCATAAACATGTCATGACATGCTACGGTGGTTGCGCGTTGGTCACGCCCCCAGAGCTACCGTAACCCAGGCGGAGACAGGGGCGCCGCCGCGTATGGGCTCGCGCTTTGGGGGCGTGACCGACTGTGGCCGTGGTATTCCGCTAAGAAACGCGCGTCCTTTTCAGTGCCGATAAGCACAACATGCTACATCAGACGCCGTTCGATACTTTACCCGCGCAAGGATTCTATCCGGCACGATGGCCACCGGCATCGGCAGCCGCGGCCGCTGCCGACGGAACGTATCCGGAACCTCCACGATGGACAACGGAGCACGTTTACCCGATGTTTCCGTTCCAAACCGAAGTGAGTGGCCTTAGCATTGAAAGGGGGGGGGGGGATCGAAATTTTTGCAGCTGAATATCCATGTCTATTAAGCCATTTTTCATAATGCTACTATCGCAAACTCAAATCACAGTCAGTCACAAAGCTGCTCGATCCGTTACTTTTCCAGATCTGTTCAGAGTTCATGAATTTTCTACCATTTGATTTCAAGATTTCTCAAAATTACATAATCTGACGACTATTCTTCAAAATTATACGATTATTCTTTAAAATTTCTCTGCTTATGGCATTTTTCGAATCGGAAATGAAACGAACTTACTGCTCCATTGAAGGGCACTCATCAGAAGCGCCATTATTTCTTTTTTTTTTGATTTTAATTATCTACGTGCACTTTCACGTTCCAGTAAATAGGCAGTAAATGAAACAAATAAGTAAATAAAATTATCCACAACTTACGATTAGTGCTCAAAATCAACAAGTTTTATTATGGTAGAAATAAAATCATTTCTAGATTTAGAATCCGAAATCTGATTTTTAGCGAAAATTTTTACGCTATTTTATTGCTGCCTTCCTTTTGTCGATCTTGATTTTATGTTGATTTTGATGTGTAAAACAAATTAGACTTAAGTGTTCCTGTGCATAATTTTTGAGGGGGAGGGAGGGAGGAGAAGAAGGGGAATTCCTTCGGGTAACGAAAAAGTATAATACATCGATTGAGTGTCGAACTTTTATCATTCCACAAATCTCAAGTTTTGAAAACCGCGAAATTTCGGCGTATTCTTGAATGCGTGCAATTTTGTTTTACATACTTTTTATGTAAAAAATGCAAAGCTTGCAGTAGCATTAGAGCGCCCAACTTCTGAAAAGCAAGTGCGTTTTTTCATAGCCAAAAATCAGAAACGAGTGTTTTTCCGATACTGATAACTTATCATTTACTAGTTTTCACTGAAGTTCCTACTTGCCTATTATTGCATTGGCATTTTGCCAAGACAAATATAAAAATCTACTAATCGAGAAAAGTAATGAAGATTGAACTAGATTCAGCCATATCCGACCGATCCGTTCCCGTCGACATCAATGGCTGGACAAACCGAGTACAAAGTTAACGCCTTCTATCCTAACTCCATCCTTGGATCTGGTTACCCATCCGATTATAATCAGGTTGGCTTTCAATCCTCACAGTAACCAAAAACCACAGAAAAGGTTTACGATGAATTTACTACGCAGAAAATTCCATCGGGTGAGAAGAGAACTTTGCCGAAAGGACATCTCTGATCATTTGAGACATTGTTTACCCAGTGATACACAATGTTTACTCTGATTTAATGCCCTTTCAGGATGTTGCGAGTACTGAAAAATGGAATTTGTTCCGAGTATCGATCAATAATCAATGATTTTCAGGCTATACAGTGGAAAATGCCATCGATGAAGCCGTTGAAGCCAACAACGAATCCTCCTTATCGAACAGGGCCAGGCACTAATAGTGAGTCATGCCAATGTTATTTTGGTAATGAAGAAATATGATAAAAATAAAAATTCGCGACAAAAATTTCTCAAAAATAATCGATGAGGGCGTTCGGGTGATGAAACATACAATTCTTCTCATCAGACCCGATAATTGTTTGCAAACCCTGATATCATGAGTTCCTGAAAATTTATTATTTATAATGTTTTCTATAAATTTTCACCAAGACCTAGTTCATTAGGGAGCCCAAAATAATTTGTCAAACAATTTGTACACGCTTCGAACTTCTCAGTCTTTTCTGAGCTGCTCCCTACCATTTTTCAGTGACACCTCAGTCAACCAATCAGGAAGCTGTACTGTGATTTGTCGAACATTGTTGTGCACGTTTTGACACAAAAATCATCGTAAAATATACGTATACATAGGTAGAGAAAATAATTAAGCCGAATTCCAAGTAATGTAAGGTAACTGGTTAAAAATTGCAACATGAAATTCCCAACATGAGTTTTATGTTTGGATAGCTGAGTGTCTGAAAATCTTTAAGGGACCAAAAAACTATCGAGAAAACACAAAGCTTTCTGAAAACTCTTTCATATTTTTCGCTTTCATTATTTCTCATTGGGACCTACACTTGAGATTATGCATACTAACCAATCAGAGAGCAGCACTGTCATTTGCAGATCAATACGGTTAACTGAAATTTAAAAAAAGTGTATGCACCTTCAAACAAGAAGACTTCGTGCAAATTAGGTAGGGTAAGCTAACTGTTTGAGAATTGATATCTATGAAACCTTACCCGTTTATCCCCCCTCCCCTCCCTCCGCCTCCCCTCTTGCTCTCCTCGCGCTCCGTTGATCGACTGCAGCCGTTGGAAGCAGTTCCCAATGGCATAGCCCGAAGGACTATAACTTCTGTAACTTCTCTACGTAACTTCCATACATCAGCGGTGTAAATCAGACACGCCATGCCCCCCCCCTCTCCCATTTCACACTTCCCCCATTGTAATCATGCGATGCGAATGTAAATTCGTGATTTACAACGTCGTCATATAACTTTTATCTACACCACCAAAGCTTATTTCTCCAGAGCGAAAGCGACACCTTAGTCAGTCAGTTGTGGCGCTTAACACTCGTCAGCCCAGTGTCGAAGAGCAGCGGCTGATAACGCCCCGATGGCGTTGTCAGCTCTCTTTCGTCGAGATGGCGCCCCTGTTTTATCACCAAAGGGGACGCAGCAGTAGCTGCCCGGCTGCTGCTGCCGTTAAACGGAGCTGATAACGGTGCTCTGATAAGGAAATCAATAGATATGACGTTTGGAAATAGTGGAGAGTGCGAATAATCCAATCAAACAAATTTATTGGGGGGATTATAAGGGGAAATAAAAGTGTTTACGGCTTACAGCAAAGAAAAACTGTGAAAGTTAGTTTAAGCGCATCATAGTTGGTCCTGCGTAGACTATCGTTACTGTAGAGGCGTAGTAGCTGTAGATTGTAGACAAATCTATGGAACCAAACAATTTTGTGGAGGGGGGGGGATTATAAATGGAAATAAAAGTTACGCGACTGCAGCGAAAGAAAAATGTGGGTTGGTTTAATAGCTTCACAGGTGGTCCCGCGAGGAATGCACTTACTGTAGTTCCGTAGTAGCTTCGAATCAGATAATCAGACGTAGATTCAGACATGCCCATGAAATTGTGAGAACGGCGGAAAATTTAGACACACATTTTTGAAGATATATTAGAGGGGTTCGAAGGCGAAATAGAGTTTTCTCGAACGCACACCTCAGGAGTTGCGGAAGTTGATATTTCAGACCTATATAAATTTTTGTGACAAATGTTCAGAATAAGTAAGAATCAAATTCTAAATGCAGATAAGCAGCGGAGTTTCCTTGCTGAAAAAGGATTGTAATAAAAAAAAGTGTTTCCTTCATCTATTTTTGGAGGATATCATCCAAATAAATTCATGTAAAAAAATTTTTTATGCTATGAAATTTGTCAGAAAAATGAATAGGGTATTCGACGAGAAACTGCTATAGGTACGTAAACGCTTGTTGGATTAATACGAGATAGCCATCGAAACTGATTATATCCCATTTTTGAAATAGGAAGGGATCCGGGACGAAAAATGGATGTCTCAGCTGGAAAGTGGTTACTGTAGGTACACGATCAGTATAACATAATCATTTGAGCAAACTGTGTTACTGTAGACAGACCGTAATTGTTAATTTGTTAGTATTCGAATCAATCAATATTTTGTTGAGAATTCTCACATGTTCATTTCATGTTGTTCATCCTCGTTCCTAGGTAATACGGTAGATTTACACTTAACAAAAAGCAACTGTTCAATTGCGTGCGCGACGAGGTGGCGCAATTTGAGACTTTACTCTGAGGACACAGAATCCTGCTCAAATTTTTATTTTATTCTATGGAAACTGTAATCCAGAAATTGTGCATAATTACAGATGTACGAGTAAGAACATCCGACAAATATCGAATGGTCTATTCGGATTATCAACGATTAGAGTTGGAAAAGGTACGGTAGCAGACTTTTTTGAGTAAAGAAACTGTAACTACAGTATGAATTGTTTTTTCTTTCCAGGAGTTCTGCACTAGTACCTTTGTAACTTCGGAACGGAAAGCTGAGTTGTCGTCGTTGTTGAATTTGACAGAACGCCAAATCAAGATCTGGTTCCAAAATCGGCGAGTCAATTATTTTTTCCAAGGGAGTGGAGACATGTGCTGTTTATCTTTCAAAACGGATTAGTGGCGACTATGACCCGATAAGTGCAGTTCTCATTACGTCATGCAATAACTCATGGACACCTTTACTTGGGCCTTTGATCGCTGCCGACTTGAGGATCTTCAATCGCAATCGGGGGGTTTGGTGCTAGTAGGCGCAGGTGTAAGGATGTAGGGCTCCTTCTGCAAGGATTAGGGACTTAACTTTTGAAATTATAATTCTGGGAGAATCACCTAGTCCTATCAAAATAGATCATAGGACACCATAAATTTGAAAAGTACCTTTTTAGGTTCTAGTCTGAAGATTCACCTTTTGAATAGAGCATAGAGAGTTTCAAACATTGTATATTTTACTCTATTTATGCAATCTATGATTCTACCAGTTCCAAAAAAAAAAACAAAACCATAAATTGGGACTCTTGTCGGGACTTCTTGGAATCCACCATTTTACCGTAACTGTGGATTAGTGGTAATGATTTTTCATCATTTTTCACCACTTTTCATCCTAACGTTGTCGCGTTCTTATACACCTGTTGTGAAAAGAGATAGCCCTATATCAGTAAGATAAATGGCAAAAGTTTGCTATTGCTGTTCCATAGCAAAATTCTGCTCCAAAGCTAGGCGCTGCATCAGTTCCTTATCTCTTATGTCAGTATAATTTGATCGTTGTCTCATCTTGCTATTGTATGGAACAACTTCTATTTCCCATGAATATACGAGTCTTTTATTCTGATTTTCGCAAAGCGGTCTCAATTTATACCAATTTTTTTTGTAAAGCGGTTCTGCCTTGCGCCAGACTGCATTTTACATCCGAAAAGCTTCTTTTGCAGTAGCTATAAATGCACTCAGATGCTCAAGCAAACAAAAGAAGATTAAAGATTATCTTTGCAGAAAAGTTTCTTTCTTTCTCTCAATGACTCAAATTGCTCCAATCAATGCCAGCGAACTTTTTATCGCATTCGAACAATTACACGGCCTTCATCAGATCGTATTCGATCCGTGTATCAACCATAAAAACGTCCTCTCGGGGACTAAGTTAAGACCAGTGCACGCTAGAAAATTGCTTCAACTTTACGGTCCGATAATTGGCCTGTCGCTGCACGCAGATTACGGTAGGATAGTCGACGACGAAAGAGGACTGGGCGGAGCTTGCGCGCGGTGTCCGTGCGGCGAACCGTTGCGGACGCGCCGTCGTGAAATTTACGACCGACCTCAACCGTCTGAACGCTTTCTATAAACAAACGCTGCACAGTGAAACGAGGCCGACGCCGACGTGGTCCCGTGTTGGCCAGAAGGCGAGAAGTCGTAAAATATGAATGTCTGTGTGTGGCCTGTGTGGTCGACGTCTGTGCATAGGCACACAAGGCCAGATGCTGTGTGCTGGCGACGTTGGGAACGCGAAGCATTGAATGGGAAAGTAGTTGAAGATCTTGGGGAGAGGGAGAGGAGGAAGAGGGGGGAGGGGCTCAATGCCGAAGCAATTTTTTAAACAGTTCCGCGGCTAGCTGCTGATTTACCATATCACGCATGTATCCTACGTAGTCATATCAATCTCACGGCATGTTCGCGGATTACACTCACTCATTGAAACAGTATTTTTTATTACAAGTTAAAACATACTGGGAGCAAGCAATATTCATGTTCGGAGCTAAATAATTACAACTAAATAAACAAAAATTGTTTTCTTTTCTAGTTCTCTGAAACTTTTCTTTTTTTTGCAATCAGGAACTCAAATGTACGTAAACTTTTGGCGAATTTCCTGATTATGCCTCATGTCACCATATCGTACTCCCACAGTATCCCAGGAAGTGATAACAACTGCATTGTACATTAGCGGAATATATGCAATCGTTGAAACAGTGATTTTTCAGAACAAATTTTGCACGAAGACTTCTATGTAATCGCATAATTTTTATAACCTTGTCTGCATTCCTGATCTAAATTTACATGCCACTCAGGATTTCATAATATCGAGTAACTAGGCCCAAAATATATTATAATTTTTACTGCAACCAACATTGAATTTTAGCTAAGAGTATTCTCCAGTTGTAGTGATTGTGATGTTCGATCATAAAATTAAATTTATGCGAGCATATTTGAGGTTGATTTTGTTCAAATTAGATTTTTGAGATTATCAATCCGCGCAGATTATTGTATGGTACAGGTGATACAATGAAATAAATTCCAAGGATCTGTTTTTAATCCGTAGTTGCAGACAGTGCAACCAATGTATCTATTTGTAAATTGTATCTTCAATTCGAGGGATGCTTCTTTAGGACAGAATTTTTTTTGCAATTATTTTGAGTTTTTGAAGATTTTTTGGGATTTCTACTTTATTTAGAATAAAAGTTCCAATTTCGTGCTCCCCCTCCCCCAATTAATTTTCTGCAAAAACCTAAGAGGTACTCCATGTCTATTTTACTACCTTAATAGAGGCAATCTTCTAAATTTTCCGATGTGGAACGAGCACGATGTGCACAAAAGTTCATTTAATTTGATAAACTGTTTTTTTCTAAACTGTATTTTTTAGGCGTGCCAAAGATCGTCGTGACAAGCACAAGAAGTCCTAAATTACAATGGGTACTAGGTGAAGATTCTCACATGTCTCGTCATATCTGGTCTAATCTTCAACATTATTCTGTGCTATTATTGTATCGTATAACACATGATTGAGTTTTTGGCGCACTGTACGCAAATGCAGAAATTGAAGAAAAATGTATTATTCTTTTCCACTTATTACTCGCCATGCTTGCCTGCTTGCCAGCCATAACTAGCTATTTTTTCCATATTATCAAGTCTAACTGTAATTCGAGTTTTGTTCCCCACTCTTATATCGATCTGTATTGATTTATCGATTGTTTCAATATACTGGGCCTATTCGGAAATACGTGCCAAGCCATATATTGCCTTGCTATCGTCAATTCACTTCGTTATTTCTCTTATATCTGTACAAATCTTATGTGATCTATAAGTATTGATTGTTTTATTAACCGAGCATTTTGCCAACGTTTTGCCGTTTGTACGTGTTGCGGATTGTTTGTTATTAATATAAGTGAACTACTAAAACTGATAAGTGATATGTATTGATTTGATGGGTGGCGGGGGGGGGGGGAAGGGGTAGGATGGTACTGAATGTTGATAAATTGGCTATCAATTACCCTGAGCTACTACTGTTTGATGCAAAAGTCTTAGGAAACTATGAGTGAGGAAGAGAAAATTTGGAATATTTTTGAAATTTAGATTGTTGGTATAAAATATCAACTGCCGCGTAAACTCTGGAAAAAAATTCAAGCTCATGTGGAACCGTCGTTCAGTTGTGGTTTTTGAAAATGCTAAGGAACCTGTTTGGAAATATAAATGTAATCTTCATTCAAATGATGTTCCGCCTAAATTTCGAAATGAGATGGATGCGTCAGGTATGTAGTACATCGTAGAAAAAAGCACATTAGGATTTGTAAAAAGGAGTCATAATTGAAGGGTGGAGGACTATATGTGGCCGAATTTGGAAGAGTCCCGCGCGGATTCCCTGCAGGAACGCATGTCCGCGCATGTACAAGGATGCGTATTTGTCGCAAATGACCGCAGGGACCGCCCTTTTTCGGCGACATATAGTCCCCTACCCATAATTGAATAGTTTAATGCAAAATTTTGATAGGAAAGAAAGCTGATTTGCGCTCCTTCGGAACTCAAGACGTCGGAACTCAAGACGTTTTCAAAAGTTTAATCAATCGAATGGAAGCTGCTAAGAAGTGCAAGAACTTCGAAAACCGAAAAGCACGGCCTTAGAAAAAATACCACCCAAGCGATAAAAAATTGAACAAAAGCTAGATACAGTATATGGTGTAAATCCCTTTGCCTCAATGGATTTGATGCGCTAGATCCACTTCTACTTCGCTGGTTAAGTCAGCGAACTAATCAAAGCGGATGCCCATATCCACTTGATCCACTTCATTTTTCGCAGTTGGTCAGCTCACTGATTAAACCAATAGCGAAGTGGATCGTGTTTAAAGGTAATTAAAGGCAGCGTCCAGGCAAGGCCCATCCAACCAGATTAGCACACAGTTGTAGAGAGGGGCCCATGAGTATCCGATCTGCGTTGGTCCAATCCTTTGACGTGCCCTCTAAAAGGAGATACGGGCCTGTGATACGTATCGCGAGCCGCCCCTTCGTATCACAAACCACCCCTGAGGACGAGTGCTTACGCAGGTGTGCGGCTGCATTGCAGTTGCATTGCAGTTGCACTGCAATGCAACTGCATCCGTGCAGTTGCAGCTCCTCCCCCTGGCATGACGATGGGGACGAACAATTCGAAACTCGTCCGCTCCTTAAAGAGAGGGTCCCCAAGAACCGGGTTTTTTGGGAGTTTTGAACAATTTGGACTTTACAACTGTAATCAGGGCCACGGAAAGGCCCCAGAATGGCAGAAACATGAGAGGCGGAATTTTGCCCGGACGCTGCCTTTAAGTACTCGCGAGTTACGGTCAAGGCGCAGGCGCGGAGCGTTGGGAGAAGGCTTCTTAGCTGTGAATGAATCATTTGCGCTACCGCTTGGACAGTGCCTTAGCTAGGATCCCCACATCAGTTTCCAAAAAAAAAACCCATACCCCCAGATTTGCCCGGACACTGACTTTAAGTCTGGCCCGTGTCTAATATAATGATTGATTTCTTCGGTAATATGTAAAGTATGTGTTTTCAAGTATCTAAAAAGCAACTGTTCTCGATCATGGAACCGTATTGGACTTGCGGAGAACACAACTCGTAAAAATAATTGATAAATCATAATTTTCCCTCCTAATTCTTCCTACGGCTTAGCAAGGGTTACTCGTTTTTATGCATAGTTGTGAGTAAAAATTATATCATATGTTCGACGTGTTTCTATAGACAGCGCCGCTTCACTTTGCCCTTTGCGCACCCTCTGGTGCGTCTTTTTTCAAGCCTTCTCATCTTGTTGTTTTATCTATGGAAAAAATGTTAGGGCTATAATGTACTTCTGTTCAAGCCACCTCCCAATCAAAAATAGTGTTCACAGTTAAATTAGGCCACTAATTGTGTTCTAGCACTTGCTGCATGCACACACTGAGATTTTATTATATTGGGTTTATACAGAAGTCTTGCACCAAAAGTTTATAAAATCCTTAAACTTTTTTAAATGCTTTGAAATTTTTACTTTGATTTTACTGGATATGGAAAATTTTGCAATTCTTATAACATTTCAGGCAACATATTCCCGCCATATCACGGAAACTTACTGAACTTACACGTCCCCTTTAGTTTTATGATATGCTTTCTCTATCTGAGAAATTGCGTCGATAAGACGTTCCCTTCAAACAGTGACTTTCGGATTTTTATCCACGTTTTTGCTTTCACGTCGAAAAAATCTCTAATACTTATGATAGGTTACAACTTCGTTACAAAAGGAATTATTAGGTTGATGCAAAAGTTTTTTTTCCCCATTTTCAAAAATTCATAACTTCTGATTTTTTCAACCAATTTGGCTGCGTCTATTTTTGTATGAAAGAGTAAGTCATGCTCTTCATAATGACATCTTAACTGCTTGCTAATGATCATTTGTTGCATAGATAGAAGTGATAGAAGAAAATTAGTTAAAATTCGAGTTTTCTGTGTAGGGTCATAAAAAATCGGGAACTTGCAACAAAAATCGGAGCAGTCGGTATTGTAGGTTCTTTCACCAGCTCTTTCTAACAGTGCAAAGTTTGCGCCGATTGAGTGTCTCTATGAAAAGTTATAATTTTCGAGCAAGCAATACAAAAGGGCGAATTTGATTTATTTTGGCATTTTTCAGGGAAATCGTAACTTTTCATGGAGACACTCAATCGGCGCAAACTTTGCACTGTTAGAAAGAGCTGGTGAAAGAACCTACAATACCGACTGCTCCGATTTTTGTTGCAAGTTCCCGATTTTTTATGACCCTACACAGAAAACTCGAATTTTAACTAATTTTCTTCTATCACTTCTATCTATGCAACAAATGATCATTAGCAAGCAGTTAAGATGTCATTATGAAGAGCATGACTTACTCTTTCATACAAAAATAGACGCAGCCAAATTGGTTGAAAAAATCAGAAGTTATGAATTTTTGAAAATGGGGGAAAGAACTTTTGCATCAACCTAATATATTAGGTTGTCCCAGAAGTTCTTGCGCCGGATTTTCAAAAAATCATATCTTCCTTGCCACTCGATGGATTTTCTTGATTTTAATTTCATTTGAAAGAGGAGACCTTTCTCTTTACCATAGTACCTTTGTCGTGAGGCGGCGTCAGAAAGTTCCAAAGCTAGAAGCAATTGAATAAAATCAGTCAAGATCGGCATTTTTCAAGCTGGATCACGAAAAATTCTGAAAGTATTTTTATTTGATAGAGAAATTTTTGCGCATTACAGTGGTGCCGTTTTCATGAATTAAAACGAAGTAGATCGAGAGTTAGAAGCAAATAAAGAGAATTTCTTCAGTTTTGCAATTTTTGAGCATGCTCAAAAAAGCTTGAAAACGTCACAGAAAAGGCGAAAAAGTCATAAACATGGGTTTTGTGACCTTTCCTTTCTAGCTGAGCGAAAATCGTGCCAATCGGGAGCAATTTTGATTTTCGTGATTTATTCGGATTTTCGGGCCAGCTTTTTTCACGAAAATGAAAACTGCTCCCGATTAACGCGATTTTCACTCAGCTACAAAGGAAAGGTCACAAAACCCGTGTTTATGACTTTTTCGCCTTTTCTGTGACGTTTTCAAGCTTTTTTGAGCATGCTCAAAAATTGCAAAACTGAAGAAATTCTCTTTATTTGTTTCTAACTCTCGATCTACTTCGTTTTAATTCATGAAAAAAGGCACCACTGTAATGTGCAAAATTTTCTCTATTGAATAGAATTACTTTCAGAATTTTTCGTGATCCAGCTTGAAAAATGTCGATCTTGACTAATTTCAATTGCTTTTAACTCTCGAACTTACGAACGCCAATTCATGGCAAAGACACCGCTATAAAGAAAAAGGTTTCCTCTTTCATAAATAAGTTATTTTGAGAGAAATCGTTGAGAAGAAAGGAAGTTATGATTTTTTGAAAATCCGGCGCAAGAACTTTTAGGACAACCTAATTTACAATACCGCTCGTAATTTGTGAAAAAAATTGGCGGCGGCCACCGAAGTTGAGCGGCGGCCGCCGCAGTTAGGCGGCAAGCGCCGCATCACGCGACGAAGTTAGGCGGCGGGCGCCTAACTTTTTTAGAAATCATCGAAAAAAGCTTATCTTGACTCAGAGTTTATGAATTCTATATTTAAGAGTACCATTCAACTCAGCTCGGCGAGGCGCATTCAGCATATAGATGTGCCTAGTCGCGGGTTATAGGTTCCTTTCTTGGAATTTTAGTGTAAATATATTATTCAGTGTGCTGATTCCAGAGGCTACATTCTGTTGAGCACTGCAGAAATACGATAGGTATAGTTTGAGAGCTCATTCTGCACGGATATGTGTAAAATTGGGCTTTTCTCGGCGAATATGACGGGTCCCGAAATGCAGGAAGACAAAGAGGAATGGCTGGAAATCGCATACGAAGCACACAT